TATATATATATATATATATATATATATATATATATATATTATTTAATTATTTATTTTATTATTAACAAGTCCAACTTTTTTAACTTATGGGATATAACTCAAATATATCCTTAAATCCATCATAATGCCTAACATCTAACATAATCGATATGGATATTTAATCTAAAGTTATAAATTATATATGTTTTTTAAGTTTAATATTTAAAGTCTATTAAAGACCCAAACCGTCTAAACCGGTCAGACCAGACCGTCTTTTTTATGGTCTGGTTTGACCGGTCTGGGCAATTGATGTCAAACCGCTCGGTTTGAAAATTTTATAAACCGTCATTACGGTTTGGTTTGTGGTCTGATGGGTTAAACCCCTCAAACCGGACTGTGTACACCCCTATTGTCCAATGTTAATCGGATTGGATCAGTTGGAAAAATTCAACACCCAATGGATGACTGGATCGGTTCGTTCCTCCCACATATAATGGATGTCGACCAAAGAACAAGCCTAAATTAGGACTTACGATCTAAAGCAACATTCTTTTTGATTTTTTTTTGTAAATTTTGAAACCCTTATTATTAATACATGAAGCCAATGTATTATAAACACATAACTTTTGGTGGGATGGTTTGTGTTTGATGAGTTGATGTTTTTGGATGCAGCACTTTGAGGGTTTTGTGATTGCGCATTTTCGTGATCGTGCCCACGCTATTTTGATGTCCGGTAAAGCGTATTGTAAAGGCGTTAGAGTCGGGTGTGTCGTTGACAAGGGTGAGGGGCGTTCACGACGATTCAAGAGTGATGTAGAACAATGCATGAAGATGTTGGCTAGAGAATTTGAACAAATAGGAGTGAAGGGTATGGAGGAGTTTAAGAGAGGCGATGTAGACGATTCTCTTACTCGGAAAATAAGGGCGTTTTTCTGTATCTGTATCTGTACCTCTGAGAGATGATGTACGGTTCCTTATAATCACGTAAATAAACCTACATCTATCTTTATTTTGAAAGAAGATTATGTATTTGGGATGATTTTACATAGCTTATGATTTTGTCATCTTATGCAAGGGGTTTTTGCTCCACAAGTAGGGTTGTAAACGAACCGAACGTTCAGTGAACCGTTCGGCGGGAAGGTCGTTTATGTTCGTTTATTTAATAAATGAATGAACATGAACAAATTTTTTTGTTCGTTTAGTTAAACGAACGAACATGAACAAGAGTCTCGTTCGTTCATTTACCGTTCGTTTATTTTCGTTCATTTTTATATTAAATTTAATATATAATCTTTTATTTATTTACTTTGAATTCAAATAATATTTACTTATGTTCGTTTAGCATGTTAACGAACGAACATAAACGAACACGAACACACCTGATTTCTAAACGAACGAAACACGAACACAAAGATTTTCGTTCGTTTACCATTCGTGTTTGTTCGGTTAAGTTAAACGAACGAACAAGAACAAACCTCTGTTCGTGTTCGTTCGGTTCGTTTACAGCCCTATCCACAGGTTCTTTAATTTTAGATGAAATTGCCACTCGTTTGTTAAAGTTAAATCAAAATTCACACTTTTCTTGCAGTTCTGAAATTAGAAGATGACCATCGTGATTTACAAAAACGTCTGAATTTGATTCTTTCCTCTAAAGATTTTAAAAAATTCTGTTAAATAATAGACATTTTCATTCTTTTATCGATTTTTACTCAATTAAAAACCACCGGAAGCAAAATCATAAAATGAAAATGAGGTGATAAGAAAAAGCACAAAAAAACAGGTTATAAAAGTATCTTCAATGCAAGGTTCTTATAAGTTAAATATAAAGTTACTTGTAGGAACTACCATTGTGGAGAGTTCTTATAAGAAACCTTGGTTCTTACCACAAAATTTGTGTGAATTTTGTGTAAAGTGACATTCTTAGTTTTTTTACATTTTACTGGTTTTATAATAATTATCGATGTTGAAAAATACATGAGACCCACAAAAAAGAAGGTTCTTATAAGAACTACCAACGTGGACTTTAATGTGATTTCTTAATTTGACGAGTTGGAAATACGAGTGCTCAAACAATCGACCAACCCAACACGAAAAAACCCCAGAAAGAACTCAACCCCGAGGTAATCCAACACGTAGTTCATACAAAATTAGGTCAAACCGCATCTATTGGTTGAAATTGGGTTATAGTAATTTGAATCCAACCCGACCCGATCGACCCGATCTTTTTATATACTATGGATTTAATATGATTTATCGTACATTAGAAATTAGACCAACCTGTAGTTAGTTATATTCAAAATTATATTACAATTTCAACCGTAATTTTACTTTCTTGTCACATAAACCTTCAAATCTTTTTTGAGTTTGTTAGCCTTTTTTATGTTCTTATTTATATTTTTTTTAAACACAAACACTTAACTAGATTGTAAAATGATATATCAAAGTTTCAATCCGACACCCAACTCAATCTGTACGACTTGAGTTGAGTTGTTTTAATGGGTGGAGTTGAGTTGAGATTTTTGAAATGAAAGATTGCTGAGGGGGTGTTTGGGATTGCTTATTTGAAACAATTTCTGTTTTTCTACAAAAGCACTTACCAACTTATTATAAGTTAGAAGGGTTTAACTTTTTTAAAAACTTCTTATTACCGGTTTGGCACCGGTATAAATTATTTATCCAAACATTTAAAAATATTTATTACCGATATGATACCGATATAAGTCAATAAGTTGTATTTAGTAGCAATCTGGTGCACCCCCTAAAATGGCTTTTGGGCAAACCAACCATAAGCGGTTATAGTTGGAGATGCTGTAAGAACTACTACAGTTGTAGATGCTCTAACATGAACGTTTAAATCGGCTGGTACATAACTGGTCCGCTTAAAGCCGATGGTTACGTTAGTGGTTCGCTATCAATCACCGTCGATCTTCTCAGTAAACGCTTTGAAAACGGAATTCTCCGTAAATTGAGTCTCATGATCGTGAAGAAAATCCAGGTTCGTTGCGGGCAATGTGGACGTACCTGATAACGATCGAAGAACAAAAACCCTAGAAAAAAGGGGGGTTTCTTTGTATTCACATTCCCCCCCCCCCCCCCCCCAATTTTCAGTTGCTGTTAGTATCCCGAATAAATGGAGTAGCCGGCGACTGGAAGACGCATCCCTCAGAAGTCAAAGTAAAATTTCTTTCTCACTTGGTAGATAGAAATTTGCATTAATTTATCTATGTCATGTTTATGACCTTTTTTATAATTATTCAGGAAAAGAGTGTTTCCAGGGAGTTCATCGTCCATGGAAGCCAAATTAGAAGTATCTTCTCCACCGGTTAATCGGAACCTGAAACGCAAGAAGATGAGTAAGCAAAACGAGGTAATGATAAGATCAATGGTGGCTTATTGGTGATTTATTGACCTTAAGTGGTATGATCATTCATTCAGTTGGTTCGATCTTCTAGGTTTGTTGGAAAATGTTGGTATTCAAATGTTTTAATGTAGTTTAGGACTCGTTTGATGGATCAACAAAGGGCATCAACTGAAAATCTTGATACATTCAGACCACTTAACCGTTCTGCATCAAATCATCAAAACAGCTCAAACTTGTTTGTTCTTGTGCTGTGGTAGAACTATTCAAACAGAAGTGGGTCAGAAAATATTGGTCATAACCCAATGGATTCTTCGCTAGTATATGCATAGGGCACTTTAACAAATGCTAGTGACTTGCAATTGTTAGCAGCTTAAGGAGCCTCACAACTTATTAGGTCAGCTAGATTGACTATTTGATGGTGGCTTAATGATATAGAAACTAGCTTATTCAGTAAGCTTCTTGGGGAGCTTTATGTAGAAAGCCAAACAAAATTTCCAAACCTGCCCCTCACAAATTTTTTCCTTCCATCCATGAAAAACCCTCCCAAACAAAAACCTTTCCAATCTATACAGTCAGACAGCTTTAATGGAAACCAACCAAACAGCCCCCAAGTATTTGTTGGTATACTACTACATTGTGGTCTGTTTTTTGTGTCTAGTTTTCTGGTGATTTGTTACAGGTAAGCTTCTTTGTTAATAATGATGCCTTCTCTGTTCTTAGGGTGGCATTTCATCGGCACTTGGTGGCATAGTAGAACTAGATTCAGATGCTGGTGTTTCTAATTCATATGATAGGAAGGATTATATGGATTTTTATGCTGATGATTATATTTATAAGGATGAGGATGAGGATGCAATTTTGAAATCTTATTTTGACAACATAGATCTTCCTACCGGCGTTGAAGCTTCCCTTCCAGGGTTTTATGATTCTATCAAAATGAAAAACAAGATGACTTCTGCAGTGCAAGATACCTTTTCTTCAAACGGATTCATGCAGTCGACCCACCCTGATTATGCAAGGCTGAATTTGTCATCAATGGGTAGTCCGAACTTGGATACAGCTAGTCACAAACACAACGTGGAGCGGCTTCCGTTGAGGTTATCTGGTGAGCGTACTAAGGGTGAACATGCAACAGTTGGTTTCAGTAGCTCAGCTTGTCCTAGTCTACAGTTACGAAGGGATGCAAAGAAGGTTAAACATGTAAAGGGATCACTCGAAGCAGGGGACCACAGAATGTCATCTGGTTCAGGGGCCAGTAGTTCCCATAATACTTGGTTGTCCGCAGTTGCAGTTTACCCTCAAGTAGTAGACCCTAAGGTGGAGGTAAATGAGTTTGTTGATGTACCTGAAGATGGAGAAATTGTTTCAATGGAAGATGCAATGTTGGACCAAGATCCTGGAGTAGCAGGAAGTTCGTCTAGCATGGGAAACCTTGGCAATGATGATGATGATGTTCTGAGGAAGGATCAGAAGTTCAAGAAGTTTGACATTGTTAAGGACCATTCATGTCATCATTATGCAGCACAGAATTCATCAATGATGCAGGCAAGTGAAGTTATAGTTGAGCTTGTTTAGTTAGTTGCCACCATTTCACCTTTATAGGTTTATAACTTTTGCAGCCATCGAAAAACTGGGCTAAAAAGATACAAGAAGAATGGAGGATTCTCAAGAAGGACCTGCCTGGTCTGTTTTTCAAGTTCTGCAACTTGTTTTCTTATTGCCTGCGAGGTTGGGGCACTTGGGTTGATTTATTTTTGTTATTTGGTTGCAGATATGATATTTGTAAGGGTTTATGAATCAAGGATGGATCTGTTAACAGCTGTGATAATTGGAGCTGAAGGGACTCCGTATCATGATGGTCTTTTTTTCTTTGATGCCTGCTTCCCTTGCAACTATCCTGATGCTCCACCTGTATGTCTTATCTCTTCTTTTTCCACTGTATCCTATCGTTTGATTTCAATGCATTTGGTATCCAGGCAGGACAGGAAAATTGTTCAGCATTTGATAAGATATGACTGGACATGACAAAACAGATAAACAGGACAAAACAAATAAAATGATCAATTTACCCCTAATGAGTTGTTTATATCTTCTATATATTTTGGTTAATTTATGTAATTTGTTAAATTATAATAAAATAAATATTTTTATAACAAAATATATCATCGGAAAACTTTCACCAAGACGATTAAAATGACACCAAAGTAAAAAGTTTATGTGGTTTCTAATTTGATTTTATACCTTTTATATATTATTTTTTTATTAAATTTTTTAATAAATTACATAAAAATTAACCAAACATAGAACATAAAATAATATTTTGAGGACAAAGTGAAAGTTTAAAGAGCATAAAATACAATAAATATTATTTAAAAAATGAATAAAATGTAAAGAGGGAGGTGTATTTGATGTTTTAGAAGAGAATTATGTTTTATTTTGACGTTATATTGGTAAAATATAGGGTCTGTTCCACCTTGTTCCATGGGGTGGGGGTGGGAGCATGCCTCTGTTCCACATAAAAGTCCTGCTAAACATGGAACAGTGATCCTTGTTTGTTTTGTCCAGTGTACCAATCACACCCCAAGCAATAAGATCTAATGGGTATTAAATAATTCTTTTCAGGAACTTTACTATCACTCTGGTGGCATACGTATTAATCCGAATCTCTATCACAATGGGAAAGTTTGCTTGAGTCTTCTAAACACTTGGCATGGTGCCAGTAACGAGAAGTGGATACCTGGTGCTTCAACGATGCTTCAAGTTTTGGTATCTATACAGGGTCTGATTTTGAATGCAAAGCCCTATTTCAACGAACCTATAGTTGCAAATTCAAGTGGCTCCGTTGATGAAGAAAAGCGGTCGCTGCAATACAACAAGCATATACTAATCCTCTCTCTCAGAACTATGGCTTACACTATGAAGCACCCTCCAAAGGTATGATCGCAATGCCTAGGCTATAGCATGCTATCTTACTTACAGTGGCTTCTTTAGGGCCTTCTGCGAGAAATTATTGATGAACCAAACTGAAAATAATGAGTATATCCCACACAAAGGTAGGTTCTAGGGTTTAGGGTTTTAGGAAGACAAGGATACAAGTGGGAAAAGTAGCATAGGGTGTGTGCATAGGTACAATGACCAAAATGTTAGATCTTGGGTTTTGTGATGATTCAAGAAAATCAAACTTGGATAGAATCTTGGATCGCGTAAGAACACTTTTCGTAAGTAATAGCTGGACGCTGTTACAGCCTTGGGTAGCACGAAAATTACTTGAGGATAAGCCAAACTAACACTGCTTTTGGGCAGAAAAACCAAAGCAAAACACAGAGATCTGGTTACCGGTTAGTTACTGGGAGGTTACATAACAGTTAAGAATGATCAACGTCGACATCAACATCGGTGAGTGAGCACTCACTGATATCAGTTACTACTCACTGATTAGTGACACTGAAAGGCCTTGCTTGCTGATAGCACCAATCAGTGCTACTGAAGGGCATTGCCCCTAAAGCCTAGACCCTGCAAGGGGGTGTGGCTCCCTTGACCCTTGCTGCACGGTGATCCCGAGTTCAAGTTAGTTTATACGAGTGTACATTCCACACCTCTTCACTCGTTTTATAGCTTAACCAAAACCCTTTCAGTCTCTTGTAAATCTCAATCACACTAAATTACTCGTTACACTAAAGTTACCGTCTTAAAACGGAGCAGCAACACATGAGAGGGACATAAGATAAAAACAGACAAGGAAACATAAAGCTGGTAAAACTAAAACTACTAGGGGAGTGAGAAAAACTAAGACGGACATACAATAAAAGCGTGAAAAACTGAGGAGTTGTTTGTTTCTTTTTTCCCATTAAGCCTTGGATGTATTAAGGTGCCTGGATGAATTAAGCTTACCAAGTCAAATTATCTTACCGGATGAATATGGCAAGGACCAAGAATCTTACCCTGTAAGAGTGAGACAAGGAACAAGAGTCTTACCCAGTAAGTGAAGGCGATACCTCTTACCATGGTAAGAGCTTATCACGTAAATTATTGCATACGGTACCGTTTTGGTGGACTAAAATCTTACCCGGTAAGTAAGTAATAGTGTTGAAGTTTACTGGTAAGCACTTACCGGATAAGTTTTTGGTAAACGGCCCCTTAATCTAAAATATAGTGTCTTCGTGGAGAGATGAATAGTGAAAAAAGTAATTTTGGCGTCTTCATCAGAGATGCTCTAAGGCCACCATGTCCATCCTGAACTGCTCTTCCTACGTTCCCCTTGGCCTTCCCGTCTCCCTCGCCGAACACCCCCCAAGTCGCCATACTCTTTATCCTTCTCACTTGTTTCTCGATTTATCCGCAGAGGCACAACTCCCAATGCTATCCAAAAACTCTTTCAATGTCTGGTTCAACATGGTCCGACAAGGGCATGGAATAGTATCACCCATGCAAATACTTCCTCCGTCCTAAAATAAATGTCCACCATGAAAATGGCACACAATTCTAGGAGTGTGTAATTATTACACTTTTTAATTAACTAAATGACGTTTTTATCGTTGATAATAGAGAGATTTTCTCCATCAGATAATGAAAGATAGGATGGGAAAATACAGTTAATTTTTAAAGTGGACACTTATTTTTGGACAAACGAAAATAGAAATGGAGAACACTTATTTTGTGACGGGGGGTTATTGAGTAGGACTTGTGATCTAAACAACTCCCCTTTTTTCAGATTGGTGTTTTGAGCTTTCAGTAGATCTTTAAACTTTTGGTGGTGTTGTTTTTGGATGCAGCATTTTGAGGATCTGGTGATTGAGCATTTTCGTGACCGTGCCCACGCTATTTTGATGGCGTGTAAGGCGTATCGTAAAGGCGTTAGAGTCGGGTGTGTTGCCGACGACAAGGGTAAGGATAAGCAGGAGGGGTATTCATGGGTATTCAGGAGTGATGTGGAACGGTGCATGAAGATGCTTGTTGAAGAATTTAAAAAAATTGGAGTAAAGGATATGGAGGAATCAATGTCTTTTACTCAGAAGATAAGGGCGTTTTTCGGTTTTTAAGAGCGATGTCGTTCCATGTAAAGAATAAACTACAAATTTGGTCTATGTGGTTCCTACAATTTTGAAATCACAAGATGGTCATCGTAGTTTGTAAAAACGTTCTGGATTTGGTCCAGCTGTTGAAAGATTTTGTTAAATGAGGGGTATTTTCGTTCTTTTATCGATATTTTGTTTTTTACCTGATAAAAAACTATAGGGTCATTTGTGATGCTTGTTTGTTTCAATTTTTCAAGGTTACTTATGTCTTATTCTCCTCTTATTTGGTAAGAGATAAATAACCTCTTATTTGCCTTTTACTGTTCTCCAAACCTTCAGAGACAACGTTTCTCAATTGATCATCACCTCTCTCAATTGATGTATTTTAATATGATTTAAATGTGTTAAATACCATTAAGGGAAAGTCTAAAAAAATCTAATGGACTTTAGTGCTTGAAATGATTTAGTCAATGGACAATTTTTTGGAATAAATAAGTTCTTGGACATTTCAAATCATGTTAAATAACTCATTGAACTTTCTAAAACTTGTTAGATACATCCTTATGACCTATACAACTGGTTAATGTGATAAAATAATGGAAAAAGTCCGAAAAAAAATCCCAATGAACATTCATATTTTGAAAGATTAAGTCTCTAAACATTTTTTGAACCTAAAAGTATTGAGATATATGAAATTAAACAAATATAACAAAAAAAATACTTACATTTACAAAAAAAAATACTTGCATTTAAAAGAGATTTTTGATAAAATTTATTTTAATTAAAATTAAAATATATTTTGTCAGTGATTTTTCAAACTAAAAAAATTTAAAAAGAATTAGTGATCAAATTTATTTTAATTAAAAAATATATATCATGTATGTGATTTTTTAAATTAAAAAAATAAAAAGATTACAGATGAAATTTATTTTAATAAAAAATAAAATAAAATTTTATTTTTAATTAAAATAAATTCCTTCAGTAATATTTTTAAACTTTTTTTTATTTTTTTAATTTGAAAAATCATATACAAAATATATTTTATTTTTAATTAAAAATAAATATAATCAGTACTCATTTTTAAATCTTTTTTTATTTGAAAAATCACTGACATAATATCTTGTAATTTTAATTAAAATAAATTTCATCAATAATCTTTTTTAAATGTAAGTACTTTTTTATATAATGTAAATATTTTTTTGGTTCAAAAAATGTTTAAGGATTTTATCGCTCAAAATATGAATGTTCATTGGCTTTTCTTCATGTCTTTTCTATTATTTTACTACATTAAGTAGTTTTATAGGTCATAAGAATGTATCTAACGGGTTTAGAAAGTCCAAACAGTTGTTTAACAAGTTTCAGAAAGTCCAAGGACTTATTTGTTCCAAAAAACTTTCCAAAGACTTGATCATTCCAAACACTAAAGTTCATTTAGTGTTTTTAGACTTTTCTCATACCGTTAATAGTATATTTTCGTTTAAATGAATGTTAATTATATAACTTAGATGTAAATTTTGTAATAATGATGAATAAATGTGTATAAATTCAACACTATAATTTTTTTTATGGGTAAAATAAACAATTTACACAAAATCTAAACATCTATTAGTTTACAAAAACAGTCTTATTGATTCAAATTTCGGACTTCAACACTACCTCTTATCAATCAAAAGTGAAATATGATTTCAGATTTCAACACATCTTAAAAAACAAACGTCACCTTAATGTGTACTTAATTAAAACAATAAAATGTAAAATTATATTTTGAAAAAAATAACAGACTATTATTACATCAATTGAAAGCAAGATTGTTTTTTATATGAACATTTAATCATATAACACCAACGAAAGTAGAGAACAGATAACCTGAAATTGGTCCATTCACAAAATCTAAAGATGCAATTTGTTAGCAGAAAAAAAAATTAAATATCATGAAAAATCAATTTAAAGATACATATGTGAACCCATATGAATAATCCACGATATATGTTCACACATATATCTAGTCTTATTACCTTCTCACAATATTTAAACCGCAAAAAATGAAAACCCCATTGAAAACCTGCAAAAAAGTTCATAAAAAAACCGCAAAAATATTAAAAACTTATAAACACCATAATAACGATGCATATGATCTTAGAGTGTCTAGGGTTGGGCCAGGAGGGTCAGTCAATCAATATAGATTGATCCAAGATCCAATAGGTCAGACCGAAAGACGTAGTCGATGGACAACAGGTGAAAATTCCTACCAATTTCGTTTATTCCAATAGTTTTTTTTGGCAAATAATTCTCGATGTGAAAACACAGAGGCAACGGAATTTACCCGACAAGGAATTTCGCTACCTTTGTCGACGGATGCTCCTATTACACTCGTATCTGAAGGATCCCGTTGCTTCGATTTGAATTATCCAGAGAATGCCTTATAAGATTAAAGAGGCCCATTTAAAAACAAGAAAATGACATCGTGTACACATGCATAAAAACCAAGAAAACATCTTCAATTAAACATATACATATGTACATACCATACAAATGAATGGTACTTAAAGTGTGTGAGTTTTTCATTTTTTTAGGTGTTCTCTCTCTATTTTATATATATATATATAGATAACCTTGCTATTTAGTTTGATAAACAATGAAATCTAACAATCTGACTTGATCTCATGTTGTCATCATATCCTTTGAGGTAAAAACAAAGAAACAAAGCTAACCAAATCACCTAATATCATATAAAACAATATTTAAATAAGAAACCATCAATAAGGAAATTTTATTCAAAACCTACTTCATGTATTTTATTAGTTCAATAAGATTTATAATTAATTTATTTTTAATTAACTTGAATATCCACCTGCTATGCGAGATAACTAATCACAGGACGACCATCCATATCACCGCATTTGAACCTCTATGGTCACAAGGTGGGATTTTCATTCCTCATTGGATTCGAAACTGGGGCCTTCAGACACTTTTGACCTTTGGAGCTCAAGCTCAAACCAATCGAACACCATCCTTTGGTCTGAATTTTAAAGTTAGGAACTGGACGATTTAACACCTTCTAACATTGCATAATATCAAAACCAAGTCAACCATCAACACATCATGAACTGTAACAAAGTCAACCAAATGACCCAACATCACATAATATTTAAACATCAAATGGAAATTATTCAGAGCCTACTTGATGTTTATTTTGACAATTTAACCCATTCTAACATCTCATCTCATGACCTCAAAACTAAAAAACAACCATCAACACATCATGAATCCTTCATCTCCAATCTTACTCATAACCATCATCTTCTTCTTCTTCTTCTTCACACAAACAATCTCCACCCTAACAATCTCCTACTCTCAACACTGTAATTCTTTTGCCCCTGAAGCAACTCCTACTCAACAAGTCTTCACCCGACACCCGTTTCTTGAACCGCTAACTAGCCATTATACGGGCGGTCAAAAGATTCTCGGCCATGATTCCGCTTCGCACACTGCCATCCTCTTAAAAGCTACCCGTAACCTATTCAAGACAAACATCACTGACACCTACAAAATCCAGGCTCGACTCACTTTCTTTCCATCGAATCATTCACAACTTGATCGAGTATGGATAGATCGTCATCAATTGGTGTTTTTCTTAGATGGGTTCTGGTCGGTATCTACGAATATGCTTTGTATGGTTGGATCAGCTCGTTGGTTTCTGAAAGAAGGTAATCCTCTTCGATTGGATGTTGTTCTTAAGCTTAAAATGGCTAGGTATATAACTTTGAAAACGAGTTTAGTAAACGGAATCTTGGAGAGTTTGGCTTCTCGTGATGATTCCGATTACTTCGAGCCGATCAGAATGATAGGATTCCCTCAAGTGGCGCCATTCAAATACAACTATACGTTGGTTTCTAGTGACGAGTGTAATAAGAGTAATAGCAATACTCGACAAGATTCAGCAATTAGTATGCAGTCGATAGATGTATGTTCAAGATTCAAAAGTCAAACCAGGACTTACCAGTTGGAATATCCGAGCAGCTGTCGTGACGAAAAGAATTGTACTCCGTTCAGTCAAGATAGCCGATTCTTGCCTTCTTTTGTGGCTTTGAACGGGATCCAGTGTTCATCTGCAGACAAAAAACTACGTTTTTTAGTAGAATTTCAAGACAGAAGGTATACTCCAGGTAGCCAATCTTTCAATCCAAACATAACATTGATTGGTGAGGGAACCTGGGATGGAACAAAAGACGAGTTGTGCATAGTTGCTTGCCGGATCTTGGATCAGAACGATCCTACAGGTAGTGCCCACGTTGGAGATTGCTCGATCAGGTTGACGTTGTGGTACCCTGCAGTTCGGTCGATCAAGAATACACATACGACCAAGGGTCAAATTTGGACTACCAAGACAGCAGACGACATCGGGTATTTTGAAACGATAAAGTTTCAAAGCTTCGATCACAGCCTGGAGAATTACGGGTCGAACTATGAGTATACACAAACGGAGAAAGTGAAACGGGTTTGTCCTACAGAGAAGCATGGTAACCGGCAAGGAGACGTATATCCATCAGGATCTGGATATAATCAGGATATGACTTTTGACATGTCTGTTAAACACAATAACATGGCTTCAACGGGCTTTGCAGTCCCGATCTTTGTGGGGAATCGGGTCTACCACTCGGGCACAGGTGTCGACTTCAATCAACGGCAGGCGGCACAACCTCCGATGACCGCTAGATCAACCACCAGCCACAATACTCCACTTACCATAAGCTATGAGATCGGCTTCACACTGAATTCGACATCGGGAAGTGGGATTTCTTCACTAAAACTGTCGTCGACCAACAATGGTCGAGTGGATATATCTGCCGAAGGGTTTTATGATGATCAAAAAGGACAAGTCTGTATGATTGGCTGTAGAAAGCTACACTCCTTTGGTAAGAATAAGAACTCGATAAACACTTCTTTTGACTGTGATATTATGGTGAGATTTCAACTCCCTCGTACCAATGGAGATGGCGGAGGTTTTATGAAGGGAAGTATTGAGAGCTTACGTAAAGAAACGGACGTTTTGTACTTCGAGCATCTGGATGTCTTATCTCTCACTTACACCACAACTGGAGCAACAAAATCGCTATGGAGAATGGACTTAGAAATCATCATGGTCTTGATTTCCGACACATTTTCATGCATATTCATAGCACGACTACTCTTTCATGTGAAGAAGAGGCCCGAAATGGTTTCTTCCATTTCGGTGTTGATGATGTTGATTCTTGCCTCGGGTCACATGGTTCCTTTGGTGCTAAACTTTGAGGCCATGTTCTCAAATACTCGTATTCAGAAAGATATACCGCTCGGAACCACTGGTGGATGGCTTGAAATGAACGAGATCGTTGTGAGGACTGTGACGATGGTATCATTCATCTTGCAATTCCATCTCCTCCATTTGACATGGAGTGCAAAACTCAGAAATGATGACGGAAACAGAAAGAATCCTTGGATAGCGGAGATCCAGACTCTCATCATCTGTTTGCCAATATATATCGTGGGTGGTTCAATGCCTTTGCTAGTGAACTGGAAGAACAATAATTACACCATTCCAAGTCAAGGTTCTATCTGGGGTGATCTGAGGTCTTATGCTGGCTTAATCCTTGACGGGTTTCTCCTCCCGCAACTCGTACTTAACATCTTGCAGATTTCAAAAGGAAATGCTTTATCTCACTCTTTTTACTTTGGAACCACTTTCGTTCGACTACTACCTCATGCATACGATCTTTATTGGGGTCCAAGTAACATCAGCCACCAGTTTGATCGGTTGTATATATATGCAAATCCGCGAGCAGACTTCTACTCACCTTCTTGGGATATCGTCATTTGTTGTGGAGGCATAGTGTTTGCCGTCATCGTATTCTTGCAGCAACGTTTTGGCGGTCGTTTTATGTTTCCCAAGTATGAAATGGTACCTGCTGCAAGCAATGAGTAGTTGATCACTCGTTGTTTCTAGTCAATATTGTATGTACCAATTACTGAAATGTCCCTAGTCAAGTATTATTAATTTACATTTGAATTGAAGTAGCATGATGATTACTAGTAAAGTGTTGAGCGAAACACAAAAGATATACAGAAGAAACCGATGCAACTCATTATCGGGATTTCGTTATATAACTGCTCTACAAACCACCCTCAAGAATGGGCAAGAAGATGGTTTATAGAGCAGAATGTTGAGACCCATGATCAACTTTATTACCTTTTCGAATCGGAACCCACAATCAGTGTTAAGTATTCAGGATCCTCAATCTAGAAAAACAAGATTCAAGAAACCAGAAAAAGAGTTCTCATCAGTTCAGACAAATGGAATAACATTGAGGAAACACATATAGGATAATCAAATTTAAACATACCTCAAGGGTTTGTTCCACAACTTCAGGAGCTGCAAAAACTCTGTGATAGATGTGACGATTGGAATTAAGCCCTCGAGTTCGATGAAACATTTGAAATGAAGCAACAATCGGTGATGAGAAAACTATCTAAGAGCATCTCCAAATGGTTCTTATAAGCAAATAGTGTCCTTATAAGTTACTGCCATTGTGGATGGTTCTTATAAGTGACTCATATTTTTGGAGTTTTAGTACAAGAACCTTGGTTCTTCCCTTGAATTTTGTATGAGATGTTATTTTAGTGGTTTTTTAAGTGATTTAAGAAGACATGAGTACAAAATTATGGTGCAAAATGTGCATTGGACCCACAAAAAATAGGTTCTTGCAAGTCGTTCCAAACTAATAAAATGTTATTTCACACAAAGTTCAAGAAAAGAGCCAAGGTTCTTGTAGAAGAACTCCAAGGATATTGGAGACTTATAACTTATAAGTACTCTCTCCCATGGTAGTTACTAATAAGAATTACACTTTTTGCTTGTAAGTAGGGTCTTGAGAGCTTGAATCATCACCTCAGGGAGAACTCATAAACTGTCACCTTGAGAATCTAGCACGAGTGCAACTGAGGGTGATGAGAGCGGGTATCAACTTGGGAACACAAAGGCTCAAAAACATGCAGTACATCATGCACAATAGCTTGTAATTAAAAGCTTTTTGGAATTTATGCATCAAGAAGCAGTATTTGATGCTTAACAGGTTGTAACTAAGAGTTTTTGCCTAAATGCTTGTAAGATAGTATAGATATAGATATAGATAATACAAAAGAAATAGTTTAAAAGAAATACAGATACCAGCTAGGTTGACCGATTACATAACCGGTTAAACCGATTATTATCAATCCTATTTTTTTTTTCCTGGAAAAAGGTTACTACTGTCAAAGGAGGCATAGACCAGGACCAACAGGGACCGATTAAGAGCCCAATATGTTAATGTTTGTCCATAAGACTGTAATCGTTGTCAAGGAATCCTTTGAGGTACAAATGCAAGAAAGTCAACCCTATCACCTAATATAAAATAATATTTAATAAAAAAAATCAAAAATAAATTATTCATAACCTAGTTAATGTTTTTTATAAAATTAGGAATCGGTTGACATTCCAATCGAACACATTATAACATCCCATGAGACCAAAACTGAGTCACCCATCAACCCATCATGAATCCTTCATCTGCAATCTTCTTCCTCATCACCATTATCATCTTCTTCACACAAACAGTCTCCACTCAAACAATCTCTTACTCTCATCACTGTAGTGCTTTTGCACCAGAAGCAATTCCTACTCAGGAGGCGTATACCAGGTACCCATATCTCGTACCACACACTAGCTATTACACGGGTGGTCAAAGGCTTCTCGGCAAGAATCACTCATTGCACACGGCAATCCTTTTAAAAGGCACCCGTAACGTTTTTACGACAAACATCATCGACACATACAAAGTCGAGGCTCGACTCACTTTCTTTCCCTCAGATTATTCACAGCTTAATCGGACAGATCGTCCTCAATTGGTGTTTTTCTTAGATGGGTTCTGGTCAGTACCTATGAATAATCTATGTATGGTTGGTTCAGCTCGTTGGTTTTCGAAAAAAGGTAATCCTCTTCAACTGGATGCTGTTCTTAAGCTCAAAATGGCTAGTTATATAACTTTGAAAACCAGTTTAGTAAGCGGAATCTTGGAGAGCTTGGCTTCTCCTTATGATTCCGATTACTTTGAGCCTATCTCAATGATGGGATTCCCTCAAGTGGCTCCATTCAAATACAGCTATACATTGATTTCTAATGAAGAGTGTCATGGGGGTAATGGTAATACTCAACAAGATTCAGCAACTAGCATGCAGACTATAGACATATGTTCAAGTTTCTATAGTCGAACCAGAACTTACCGATTGCAGTATCCAAGTAGCTGTAGTTCTATAAAGAATTGTATTCCATTTGGTCAAGATAGCTCATTCTTGCCTTCTTTTGTCGCCTTGAACGGGATCCAGTGTTCTTCTGCAGACAAAAAACTACGTTTTTTAGTAGAATTTCTAGACAGAAGGCATACTCCAGATGGCCAATCTTTCAATCCAAACATAACGTTAATTGGAGAGGGAACCTGGAATGGAACAAAAGATGAGTTGTGCATAGTTGCTTGCCGAATCTTGAATCAGAACGATCCTATGGGGGCTCACATTGGAGATTGCTCGACCAGGTTGACCTTGTGGTATCCTGCAGTTCAATCAATCAAGAAGACACATACCACCGAGGGTCAAATTTGGACTACCAAGACAGCAGACAACATCGGGTATTTTGAAACGATAAAATTTCTAAGCTTTTCTCACAACTTCGAGAATTATGGCTCGAAGTATGAATTTACACAGATGGAGAAAGTGAGACGTTTTTGCCCTATAGAGAAGCATGCTAAAAGGGAAGGGGACAGTTATCCATCAGGATATGGACATCATCAGGATATGAATTTTGAGATGTCTGTCAAACATAAGAACAAGGCTTTTACTGGTTTTGCAATCGCTATGTTTGTCGGGAATCGAGTCTACAACTCGGGCACAAGTGAGGACTTCAATCGATGGCAGACAGCACAATCTTCGATCATTGCTAGACCAACCACCAGCCACAACGGTCCACTAAACGTAAGATATGAGATTGGCTTCACCCTAAACATGAGTTCCATATCAGAAAGTGAAATTTCTTCATTGAAACTATCCGCTACCATCGACGGTAGAGTGGCTATATCTGCAGAAGGGTTTTATGATGATGAAACAGGACAACTCTGAATGGTTGGCTGTAGAAAGCTACACACCGACTCGATAAATGCTTCTTTTGACTGTGATATTCTGGTGAGATTCCAACTCCCTCCTACCAATGGAGATGGCGGAAGTTTTCTCAAGGGAAGTATCGAAAGCTTACGTAAAGAAACAGACATTTTGTACTTCAAGCATCTGGATGTTTTCTCTCCCACATACATTCCACCTGCGTCAAGAACATCAATATGGAGAATGAACTTAGAAATCATCATGGTCTTGATTTCCGACACATTTTCATGCATATTTATAGCACGACTACTCTTTCATGTGAAGAAGAGGCCTCAAATGGTTCCTTCCGTTTCGGTGTTGATGATGCTAATTCTTGCCTTGGGCTACATGGTTCCTCCGGTGCTAAACTTTGAGGGAATGTTCTCAACCATTCGCATGCAGAATGATTTATCGCTCAGAACCATTGGTGGATGGCTTGAAATTATTGAGATGGTTGTGAGGACAGTGACAATGGTAGCATTCATCTTGCAGTTACATCTCCTCCATTTGATATGGACTGCAAAACCCAACAATAATGATGGAAACCAAAAGAATCCTTGGATTTCTGAGATGCAGACTTTCATCATCTGTTTACCAGTGTATATTTTGGGTGGATTGACGATGTGGCTAGTGAACTGGAAGAACAATAATTACACCATTGCAAGTCAAGGTTCCATCTGGGGTGATCTGAGGTCTTATGCTGGCTTAACCCTTGACGGTTTCCTCCTCCCACAACTAGTTCTCAACGTCCTCCAGATTTCAAAAGGAAATGCTTTATCTCATTCCTTTTACATAGGAACCACCTTCGTTCGACTACTACCTCATGCATATGATCTTTATAGGGGTCCAAAGAACATCAGCCAACAGTTTGATCGGTTGTATATATACGCAAATCCGCGAACAAACTTCTACTCACCTTCTTGTGATATTGTCATTTGTTGTGGAGGCATAGTGTTCGCCGTCATCGTCTTCTTGCAGCAACGCATTGGCGGTCGGTTTATGTTTCCAAAGAGATTCCAAGAGTCTGCTAAGTCGATCACTAATTGTTTGTAGGGTATTATCCAAATTGATATCTTATTTTATGTTGTATGTTATATTTAAACATAATTCCCTAGTCAATTTGCCAACAAATTACAGCCACATTTGCCAACGATTGTACCAAAGTCAATTTGAATCAGAAGTCATCACCATGTCGTACCATCTCAATTGCTTGGCATTATCCCATCAGGCTTTATTAAAACCATCATTATCTAGTCGATATTTACTACCAAAACGGCATTAAGATGAATCAAGGCAACATCAAACATATATTGAGGATTTTGGTCCCTTTCCCCCCAAATAAGCCAAGATGCCCACGATATTTTCAATGCAACAAGTATAAAATTGAACTCCACAGATTCACCGATGTATATGTATATTACTAAACGAATTGAATGTAGAGGGCAGCATTGCATACCTAAATGCAAGCAGTAACACGCGCCAATCATGATGGTAAAGTCTTCTTCCCGTCTGCTCTACTCCTTCATGGCCATGCTTCTTATCAGCACATACTCAATAGCCTCAGCTTCGTCCTCGTCGTCTCCGGTGATCACAATCATCACCGATTCCGATGGATTGGAAGCACTACCGATTGTTCTAGAACAAACAAGCGAACCCTTCGCAGAAGAAATCGGTCCAGAGGATGAAAAGAAGAGTACCGTTCTCGAGAACGTCTACAAGAGAAACGCCACCGGAGTATACAAAATTGATGGATTACTTACTGAAATCAAGTCCTCTGGATTCCACCATCTTCTTAGGAATTCAACTTACAGCAAGAAAGTAAAACAATCGTCCACAATCGAAGGAGAAGAGAACGAAAAACAAATCCGTTTGGGGAAGAACTTGTTCATCGGTTTCTGGGTCGTTTTCGGTGTGAATTACTTGCTCTGGATCTCGATCGGCCCATGAACATCGTCTGCCATTTCTCCAAATCAAATGATTTCCAGTCCATGACGAATTTTTGTGAAAGCTCTTGTTCATTAGTTTTTATTTCATCATCCAAATTCTTCGTGTCTCATAACCTTTTTATATCAAATGATTTTGTACCATGTGTCTTTTAACTGTTCAGTATTTTAATTTTATCGTAAATAATTATCAAATAATTATATTTTATTTTATATTATATTTTATGAGTTTCTTAATTATTTTGATCATTTAATTATATTATATCAAATTATTCAGCAATTATCAAACAATCATATATACATTTTAAATTAAAATAGTTATGAAATTAAAAAAAATCAATATTTATGGCGCTAATTATATTAATAAAATTATTATATAATAAAAATGATACCTATGAAGCTTGAAATTTTGAAAAGGGACCAAAAGCAAGTCGAGCTTTTAATTAGCTACTTGAGTTAAAGCTCGAGTTTAATAATTTTCAAGCTCAAATTTAATAATTTTCGAGTTCGAGTCGATCTCATACATAAAATAAAACTTGTTTAACTTAACGAGTCGAGACTTTTCGAGCCGAGCCATTAGAGCAAAGATTTTTTTCGAGTCAAACATGCTCATATGTTCATAAATCATATAATAAAAATATATAAATTATCAACCTTAAGCTTGTATATGAGTTCAAGTCTATAAAAAAGCATCGAGCTCGAGCCCTAAGTTGAAAAATCATCGAGCTCGAGTCGAACTTGAGCTTGGTATTGTTTTTTCGAGCCTGACTTGAATAACCTACTACTCGACTCGACTCGTTTACACCCTTCTCCAGTTCATTGGTTTTTTTTTTTTTTTTTTTTTTGCAAATAGGATTTTTCTTTTCATGTATACAATATGCACTTTCTAAACTTTGAGAGTTGATCGACAGTATTAAAAAGTACATGAACATCAACCAAAAATCTGGATACAGGTCAGAGGGGCAACGACCCAAGGCAGCAAAGAGCCCAAGGGCATCACTTTCAGAAGTCCATTGTATATAGATAGGTTCATCTCGAGCCTTAAAAACATTACTGTTACTCTATACAGCCCAAGGGCCAAGGGCATCGACTGCATCATCATCCATCTCTCTTGGCCTCGCTTCAAGATTCAATAACGACTAGATTATAGTATTAGACAAACTCATGATTCACGAACTTTGGAACTCGTTCTCTCTCTCTCTCGTTTCTGTTTTTTGAGTGGCCTGTGACCTGACCAAACCTCTCGGCTCTCGCTCACGAGTCTCAACCTCGTTTCTGGAAAGGGTTTGGAACTCGTTTGATTCTGAATCATCAATCGTCTATGGTCTCTGTCGCTTTATTCCTGAATGGCTGAATCATCTCTAGCCCTCGATTAACGTGGTAAAATTCTAAATTTTGATTTCTAATTTTTTTTTTATTTATTGTTTTAGATTACAATTATTAACTTATTTGTTTTACCACTTTATGTTCACTGTTTAGTATAAATTGGGGTTATTAACTTATTTTGTTTAGTTTTGGTCAAGGTTATTTTGTTTAGTTTAGGTTTACTCATATTTTTGTTTTATGTTTACTGTTTAGGTTAGGATTATTTAGGGGCCGTTTACCAAACACTTATCCGGTAAGTGCTTACCGATAAAATTTAACACTATTATTTACTTACCGGGTAATATTTTGATCCACCAAAACGGCATCGTATCCAATAATTTACTCGATAAGCTCTTACAATGGTAAAAGTCATGCCCTCACTTACCGGGTAAGACTCTTGGTCATTGTCTCGCTCTTACCAGGTAAGATTTTTGGTCCTTAACATATTCATCCACTGAGGTAGTGTGATTTGGTAATCGCTTACCCGGGTAAGCGTTTGGTAAACAACCCCTTAATTTAGTTTAGGTTTATTTATTTCCTAGTCCTCTTTAGATCAGATTGTTCTCTTGTTGATATTTGTTGATTGTTATTATTGCAGAAACAAAGTTATTTCCACTTTGAAGTTTCGACCTGTGTGGCAATTTCACAAACCACGACTAAATCAGGTATTATCTTTCAATTCTCTATACCGTATCATTGTTCATTTGTTTAAGATATGTTTCCTCGATCATAACCATTAAATAGCTTCCAAACCTAGATTGAGCGACTAGATTGACTAGGTTCCAAAACCCTTTAAATAGTTTATTTTGTATTTTATATACACATATGGTTTTTCGCCGTAGGCATCTGAAATCTCGAAACTGGCCCTGAGCATCAGTCATGTCGGCGCGGGTTCGGGTTGGTATACACGAACTCATATCGGTTTTTGAGGTGGGTTTTCATGGGCTAACCCCCTTAGATTTCGAGTGGTGGATTGTTCGGGTTCGAGGGGAGTTCAGGTATGGCAGGTTCGGGCGGGCTTGGGTGGGTTTTTGAGGTGGGTTTTCATGGGCCGACCCCCTTTAGGTGTATTCATAATGTGAAACGTAAAGTCATTAATTAGATTAGAAGAAATAGATGGACCTTCATGAAAAAAGTCCAGGTATTCGGACGGGTACAGATGCCTATTATGGAGATCCAACCCGAACCCTACAATCCTATTGAAGGTTCGGATATCGGTTTTTGGATTTTATGTATAATCAAGTACCGGTTTAATCCCAAAATTTGAGTTCAGATTTAAACGAATTCGACGGATCAAATCAGGTTTGCTCAGCCCTAAATTAGTGCGAGTTAATGTGGGCCACCATTGATTGCGTAAGGTCATAGAGCTTTAATTCTTAAAGCATCTCTAAAGGTTGTTTGAAAATGACTTAAATATGATTTGATCATCAAAGCTAATGACTTGAAAATGACTTTTCTTATCAACCGAATTTGAAGTCATTGAAAAAAATGGATGTAAAAGACAAAGAAAAAAATTGTATTATGATGATCAAAACTTTTTTACGTATTGTTATTTTGTTTATTTTTTTAGAGGCTGTTTATTTACTTCTTAACAGTTCTATTAATAGACAGTCTCTGAATCATCAAGAGGTGAATCTTTTTTAACAAAAAAAAGTTTATTTCTTAATAGTTTTAAAACTCTCTGAATGATTTTGTATCTTAGGTCTCTGTTAACCATTCAACACACTTTAATTGCATCGCATACAACTACCAAATAATTATATTTTATTTACATTATATAAAAAAAATTCTTAATTATTTTGATAATTTAAAAATTCTATACTAAACAATTCAACAAGCCGAAATATCTTCTATTCAATTTTGACAATTTGCAAGTGTGCAACGAAGAGGTGTACCTTGTTTCCGATCATGCCACGTGTCAATTTCTTCTAGAAACTGCCGGCCACATTTTTGGATCCCTCTAGAACCTTCAATCTCTCCTCCTCTTTAAACAACCCTAAAAGGCTTCACGTCTCGCCGTCGCCTCCACCGTTTCTGTATCTGAGAAAATGTCGTCGAGAATAATGATCCGATCATGTAATTCATCTCTCCGAACACTCATCCACCGACATCTCAGCCCCACCGTAGCTTCAACGACTGCACAAACAGAAACTTCGCCGAGTATTTACAACTTCCACTATCTTCTCCCTAACACCACTGTTCCTCGAACAGTGAATTTGGACGATAGATTTAGTATTGATACCGTCGGATACTCGACGTCGATGGAGGATGCTCGTGGACGTCTGTCCAAGGAGGTTGACTACGTACAGACGTTCTACGAGAAAGAGATTGAGGACGATAGTGACATGGATGAATCGGTTTACGAAGATTCCAATGACGACGACGATGATGATGATGATGACGACTATGAGGACGATGATGATGAGGACGCTACTCGATCTGGTAGGTAGGTATGCTAATTTATTGATGAAATTATATTCAGTGCACCTCTGCATCTGTGCATCGTACTTTCGAGTTCATTTCTTGCGAAAAATGCCAAATGGTTTGTTAGTTATGATTCATTAAGCTCTCGATTTTGCATATGGATTTGATAATCTGTAAGCTGATTTTTCTGGTTCCATGATAGCTCAAATTCTTCAAACGAATGTAATTGTAGCCACATTCGATTGTTTAATGGATGAATATAGATGAGGCAATAAGCATTTGAAGAACCAGATCAGGTGAATCAAAGACGATAAGATGGTAATCCAGTTTACATTGAAATTGAAGAAATAGGCGTTCATTTAAACCCTTGGATTCAGAAATATTCTATCGAGCTTGAAATCCGAACATGTAAAGCTTTAAACAGCGAGAAGAGAAAGTGGTTTGAAATTCGTCCATGAGAAAACCGGTTAAGGTGTGTTTGGGATTGCTTATTTGAAATTAACTTATATTTTTCTATAAAAATTTATATCAACTTATTATAAGTTAGAATGATAATTTTTTCAAAAACTTCTTATTATCGGATTTTGGTCGGCATAAGTTGTTTATCCAAACACTCTAAAGTGCTTATTACCGATGTGATATCGAAATAAGTTATTTTTGTAAGCAATCCCAAACAGATGTATTACTATTACAGTTTCTTTTAATTAAGGAACAATTTAACTAGAAATTTTCTCCATCTTATTTATAAGGGTAGAAGTCTAGGGCTGTAAACGAACCGAACGAACACGAACGGAGGTTTGTTCATGTTCGTTCGTTTAACTTAACCGAACAAACGAACGAACACGAACAGTAAACGAACGAAAATATTTGTGTTCGTGTTCGTTTATATTCGTTTGTTAACATACTAAACGAACGTAAACGAACGAACATAAACGAACGAGCTAAACGAACATAAACGAACGAGTTAAATGAACATAAATAAATATTATTTGAATTCAAAGTAAATAAATAAAAGATTATATATTAAATTTAATATATAAACGAACATAAACGAACGAATATAAACGAACGATAAATAAACGTACGTTCACGAACATAAATGAACGAACGAGGTTTTTGTTCATGTTCGTTCGTTTAACTAAACGAACAAAAAAATTTGTTCATGTTCGTTCCTTTATTAAATAAACGAACATAAACGAACTTCCCGCCGAACGGTTCACGAACGGTTCGCTGAACGTTCGGTTCGTTTACAGCCCTAGATAAACCGGAATGTAAAATATTTACATTTTACATTGAACCGTATTTTGGGACAGGTGAAATAGTATGCTAGGGCTGTTTACCAAACACTTGTCCGGTAAGTGTTTATCGGTAAATATAATTTACTTATCGGGTAAGATTTTAGTCTACCAAAACGATATTTTATGCAACAATTTACCCAGTAAGCGCTTACCGTGGTGAGAGTCGTCGCTCTCACTTACCGGGTAAAACTTTTGGTCCTTGTCTCGCTGATTCTTGGCCTTAATCATATACATCCGGTAAGGTAATGTTACTTGGTAAACACTTACCCTGTAAACATTTGGTAAATGATCCCTTGACTATTTTCGAAGTGATATGGTTGCAATTGTTTTGGCATGTGTACCTTATAGTGTCAAAGATATCCTGTGTGATAATGCAGATATATATTTGGAGTGAGTCGAGGCATCTTTGTTTTTTCAGAAATAAATTGCACCGTTAGGTTTTTACATGCGGGAATTCGGTCGATGATCCTCTAGATCTGAGAAAGTTGAATTTTAAATCAGTAATTTGTTGACTTTTGCTACAAATCTATTGGTAATTAGTGAGATGAAGCCACTGGTATCTATGGTTACGGGCAAGCTTTTCTACGACAACATGTTTCTACAAGTAATTTCTCGTTGATGACTATCATTGGCAGACCCATCCGTGAGTAAAGGTATCCGATTTTGTAGTGTCGATGTGTGGAACCATCCATGAGTAAAGATGTCCTATTTTGTAGCGTTATATGATTCAAATATACAAGGCACAAACTTGTGATGCAGTTTCAATTGATAATCAATCAAGATTGACACATTTTTTTGTGGAAGGAACAACACTTCATTCGACATTCATGTCAAAGCATTTTGATATTTTTAACTCAAAATGATAGAAAATTATGTGGTTAATCTCGAAAAGTGTTAAGATTTACTCGTTCGCAGATAATTTTCTAAATCCGTTACCAAATGGTAGATTTATGCTATTCATTTAAATAAATGTGAAGGAAATTTTATAAACCATAATCGTCGTTCAGGATTGAAGTAACTTAAAACATTTTCGACAAAATTTTTAAAAACGAAGATTTTGGAGATTTTCATTTCACCAAATTTCTTAAAATGGAAAATGTAGGAGAGGGATGATGATAGTCTTTAAATTTAGAGATTTCTTTAAAAATGATAAATGATTTTTCTTTCTACCAAATGTCAATCATTAAAATTAAATGTTTAAGAAAAAATAAAATATTTTATTTATATGGGTTTTTAATCTAAATAGTATATAAAATATCGTTATACATATAACTATTTTGTAAAATATTATTTTTTATTTGTATTTGTTTTGTATTGTGAAACTTTTTATTACATAACTTTTTTTTCACAAATGTGAACTCTTAATATGTATTTTATGTTTTACAATGTTAGAAGTTACTCGTGTAATGTAATAAGATATATATCGATTTTAATGTTTTATTTTATTTTATTTTTGTCTCCATACGATTTTATATGGTTTTCAAAAAAACGATAAATTTTTTATTTTTAAATAAAATATAAAGATAAAGATAAAAAATTTGAAAAATATATTTTAATATTAGTATTAAACTAATAATTTAGAATTTCTCTTTTATTTGTGTAATTTCTTTAATTCTTCTCTTATTTTGGTTTAATAATATTTTTTTTTTTATAATGATAATAATTATACAATACTCATTAACGAGCGTTTAGTCGTATTTCTTGAGAAAATTATTCGGTTGATGAGATTTAATATGATATTTATGAGATCGATGATTATTCATTCGCCAAAATCAAAAGTAAAAAACTTAATGATTATTCTAATTATTTTTTAATTTTTTATTTTTAAAATAATATATATATCTTCTATTTAATTATGTTTATATGTAATTATTTATATGAATTCAAACATCGAGCTTTAATAAATTGTACTTATGTAAAATTATTTGTATTTTTGAATTTTAAATGACATATATCAATAAACAGTACATTATGTATAAAAAATAATTTTTAAATTTTTTTATCAAATAATTTATAATATATTATAGATTAATAAAATTACACCAATACTTTTTTTCACAAAAATTAATTTAAATTATATGCTTGCTAATATTTTTCAGGTGTTCCATATAGAAATAAATAAATTACTGAAGTGTGAACGGATACACCGCCCGCAACCATACGGCCGACGATTCAGCGCAAAGGGCTTCGGGGAATCCAACCATAGATCGCCGACGGGCTTTAAACCCTAATTCGAGTGGATATTAACATCTCCTTTTTTTTCCATTTCATGTTATCTAATTTTTTGCGAAGTTGATTCTGACTTCAGCTTTCGACAGCATGATCTCTATGCCAAGTTCGACGACCAAAATTTGTGTATGTGTTGAGAGAGAATTGAAATTACTGAGGTATCATATTTTTCATTCACATGAATCGCAACTGTAGGATGATTAATTACAAGCACAATTCGCCGTAATAACGGATGTGAAAAGGAGATTCAAACTCAAAACGGCAAAAGTTTTGGCAATTTTCAGAGGTTCGCCTGAAAAGGCCGGTTAATTTGATATGTATCAAGTCGTCGGAAGGTATAATAAACGGAAAAGTTCATCGACGGCAAGGCGGTGGTGGATCGTTGGAGATCAAATGAACCTCTGTTTTGAATAGAAGAAAAGAATACGAATCCACAGAAAAGTATACGAATCCTCCCGGCGAGTGTGTTACGAACGATCCAAAACTCTTCCCCGCTACACAGTGCCATGCCAATCCGTACCACCGATCAAACTCCTAAAGTATTTCACTTTCAACTTTCTAATTCAATCGAATCGACTCTAGTTTTTCTCTTCATATATACATATATATATATACACGGAGAGGGAGAGAGAGAGAGTACCTTTTTGATGGAACGAGCGAGGAGAGTGAGATTAGGACGGCGAGAAGAAGACGAATCAAAGAGCGATCTGGCGAGACGTAAGGCACGCTCTTGCATTGCAATAGGCATATCGGCTGATCTCAAACGGACGTTGAGGCTAACGGCGATTGCAGCTAGCTGGAGTTCCTCCGGTGTAGATTTCCGGTCCGATGAAGAGTAGTATTGTATTACCTGCTTCTCCTTCCAGTCACCGCCTGTCTTCTCCATGATTCCACAGAAACAGAAAGAGAAAAGAGTTGAATTGAAATTGAGTCAAAGGAAGAGAATTTGAACACAAGGCGGTAGTCTATACCTGTGAAGAGAGAGAAAGAGAGGAGTCGTTGGAAATGGAACAAGAAGCTTCAAACTTTGACCGGTAGTACGATTGCGAAAGGATCATGTCACCAAAACCTTGTTTTAGAGTAAAATACAAATTTGGTCCTTACGGTTTGTTCGTTATAATACTTTTAGTCCCTACAGTTTTAAACGACCTGATTTGGTATCTCCTTCTAACGGATGTTAAAAGCACCCATTAAATCAAACAGATATGGTGGCATGTGCCTTCGTTTCTTCCTCCGTCGTGGTGTAAAAAATTATAGGATCGTAAAAGATGTCACTGTATCAACTTGTTGCGTGTCATCGTATATGTTTTAAAACTACAATGATGACACAAGTTTTTTTTTAGTTGATTTTATGTATTTCTTCCATCCCAGATCTGTGTTCGAAACTCATTAGTGTCATTTTCTTAGTTTTTAAATTTATTATCTCCTAGAAAAAACTTGAACACAAAAACTCACATATGAAAAATAGTGAATTGACTAACAAACTAATGATACTTTTATAAACGATATCCATATATTTATTTCTTATAGTCAATTGGTGGCACAACTTGAATAAATTTTTAGGTTAGTCTCTATTAGTCAGGGGTATTTTTTAGGTTTTTTTGTATTTTTATCTCTTTTTTCCTTTAATAAATAAACGAGACAAACACAAAAAAAAAAAAAAAGAGATTAAAATGCCCTTAAGTTAACACTTGTTAAACATTCGTTAGAAAGATGGACTAAATTCGATTCTTTTAATAAATCGTAATGACTATCATGTAATTTTAAAACTACAGGGATGAAAATGTTATAACCACCAAATCAAAGGGACCAAACTTACAGTTTACTCATGCTAAAAACCTGCCAAAATAATTTTGATTTGCATCATTTAATCTAATAAAATATTCATACCTTTATTTATCAATATTTTGACATTTTTAACCATTAAAACATATTGTTTTTTACTTGATAAATATTTACCGGGTAATAATTTTCACTTTTGCTTGATAAATATTCTCGATCCTTATTGTATTTTTTACGGTTACCGAATAAGATAATAATTCATTGTCATATTCACCTGTCCCTGTAAATATTTAGAAAACGACATCTAAAATCTTCATTAATGTAAAACGTTTTATAAAATGGAAAATTCTGAATTAAATGGTCGTTTACCAAACTCTTATCCAGTAAGTGTTTGCCGGTAAAATTTAACACTAAGCCACAAGGGTGGTGGTTGATTGGTTTGAGCTTGGCTCCAAAGGTCGAAAGTACCTGGAGGTGTCAAGTTCAAATCTAAGGAGGAATAAAAATCTCTTGTGGCCATGGAGGTTCAAATGCGGTGACTCTGGACTATTTGCAAAGCAGGTGGTGGTTCTGGGATTAGTCGGCTCGCATAGCGTGTTGAATATCTAGGTTAATCAAAAAAAAATTAACACTATCATTTACTTATCGTGTAAGATTTTAGTCCACAAAAACGGCATCATATGCAACAATTTACCCGTTAAGCACTTACTGTGGTAAGAGTCATCATTTTCACTTAACATGTAAGACTCTTGATCATTGTTTCGTTCTTACCGGGTAAGATTTTTAGTCATTACCATATTCATCCAATAAGGTAATGTAATTTTATAAGTACTTATCCGAATAAACATTTAGTAAACGGCCTTTAAATTTAAAAAAAAAAAATAGGCGTGTCATAATTGGATTAAAAAAATATAATAATTTTGATGGTTGACCATAGTCGGCAAGAGTCAACCAGATGAGTCATTTCCGATAGATACCTTCGAAACAAGACTCACATGCACCGGATTCGTTCATTTTCACGAGAATCGCATGGTGACCAACCAACGCCCGACCACCCCCGTTGTTTAGGCGCTATTCTTGACCCACCCTTCCCCCTAATTACATAACAATTAACCAACCCTTCCACAACTACGGGACCGTTTACCAAACACTTATCCGGTAAGTGTTTATCGATAAAATTTAACACTATTATTTACTTACCGGATAAGATTTTAGTCCACCAAAACGGTATTGTATGCAACAATGTATCCGGTAAGCGCTTACCATGGTAAGGGTCGTCACTCTCACTTACCGGGTAAGACTCTTGGTTCTTGTCTCGCTCTTATTGAGTAAAATTTTTGGTCCTTACCATATTCATCCGATAAGATAATTTTACTTGGTGTTCACTTACCCGAGTAAGCGTTTAGTAAACGGCCCCTACATTTGTTTTAATAAAAATATAATAATTCAAATATAGTGTTTCGTATAAAGTAATAGAATCTAAATTCAATCGTAATTAGGGACTAATTTACAATTTTTTTTCAAACGTTGACACCATTTAACTATAAGAAAAACTGTAGAGAAAAATTTCAAATGGTGGCACCGTTTAACTATAAAAAAACAAATATACTAATTTTTTTTTTCAATCGGTGACACCATTTAACTAAGAAAAATGACATTAACACGATTCGAACTTGTGTCTGAGGTGGAATAAAAGTCTTGCAAACCAATTATACCAAATAAAATTTGTTCTCATTGTAGTTTCAAGATACATACGGTTTGCAACTTTCACGAATCTAAATTTTTTTACCCTTTGATGGAGGAATAATATGGTGGCACGTGCCACCATAACCACCAAAGTAGGTTCGTCCCTGACGGTAATATCACCGATGGATCAAAAAAGTATTTTGAGTGGGTATCTTTATAGTGGATCAAATGCTCGTAAAGTCGGCCAATATGTGTTTAGTCAAATTTCAACGTTTCGAGAGATTTTTTTTAAGTTATTTGGTTGACTTCGAGAGACTTTTCCAATTTTGTTGGTTGATTTTTCTTGTATTTTCTAATATTTTGAGCACCGTTCAAAGTTTAACGGGTACACCTTTCATATTCAAAAAAAAAAACTACATGCAAAATTCAATTGAATGGGTGCACGAAACTCCATTCGTGCATGCATAGATCCGTCCCTGGTAATGATTAATTCCATTATTACTATTTCATTGACGAGTAATTGAATGGGGTTTCACGTATTCTCGCATGACATTAGATTCAATGTCTATCATTCTAGACAATCAACACTTTGAGACTATATGTGTGTGTTTGTTTAGCCTTCATCAAGGATGACATGTTGAATTCCCGATATACCATTTGTAATGTATTGTTTGGTATGCAAACATGATTGGACTGGACATGACAGAAAATAAAAAGAAAAATACATGATAAGTTGTTTGTCTTGTGTTTGGTACAACTAGAATGACACAATAATTTCGAGTCTAGTGTATTTCTAAGGATATATCTGTAAAAAGTAAGATGTATATATACCTGACATCTACCGTAAAAAATGGAAATTTTCAAAACCAAATCATATTAAACTTCAAATTTGGTCCATGTGGTTCAGTTCTTTAGTTACAAGATGTTCATTAGGGTCAAAGACCTTCCAGCCTAGTGGTAAGGCTTGGGCATGGCATAGTCATGAACCCGAGTTCGAGCCCTGAGAGGGGAGTGTTGGCGACATTTAAGTGGGGCCATGTTTTGCTTCCAAAATTGCCGGGGATTAGTCGGGCTTTGACCCAGACACCCTTACAAAAAAAATGTTCATTAGGGTTTACAAAAACGTTCAGTTTTAGTCCCCCCACTCTGAAAACAGTTAAAAATTTCGTTAAACAAGGAGTATTTGAGTTCTTTTATCGATATTTTTTTTATCTTCTACTCAAATTTATAATTATTTTTATTATTTTGGTTCATATGGTTTTTGATTGGGTAAAAGACAAAAAAGATCGATAAAAGGATAAAAAAAAAGTCCCTCATTTAATCAAGGACGGACCTATAGTGGTGCATACGGTGGCACGTACCACCGTATTATTTCTCCGTCGAAGGGTAAAAAAAATTAGGTTCGTGAAAAATACAACCGTATTAATGTGTTGTGTGTCACCGTATGTATTTTGAAACTATAATGAGAACAAATTTTATTTAGTAGAGTTGGTTGGCAAGACTTTTATTCCACCTGAGACCCAAGTTCGAATCCTACTAGTGTCATTTTCTTAGTCAAATGGTACCATTGTTTAAAAAAAATTATATACATTTGTTTCTTATAGTCAATCAGTGCCATCATTTTGAAATTATTTCCCTATTTTTTATAATCAAATAGTGTCACCGTTTGAAGGGAATTTTTTGAGTCCGTACCCGCATTTAATTGGACTTTTTAACGGTGTTTAGAAAGAGAGACAAAATCCAGACGTTTTTTTTTCAAACCATGATGATCATCTTGTAACCTTAAAAATATAATAACAAGGACCAAATTTGTAGTTTAGGGGCTGTTTACCGAACGCTTACCAAGTAACATTATCTTACCAGATGAATATAGTAAGGACCAAGAATCTTACCCAGTAAGAGCAAGACAATGATCAAGAGTCTTACTCAGTAAGTGAGAGCGACGACTTTTACCATGGTAAACGTTTACCGGGTAAATTATTGTATACTATGTCGTTTTGGTGGACTAAAATCTTACCCGATAAATACATAATAATATTAAATTTTATTGATAAACACTTAACGAATAAGTGTTTGACAAACGGTCTCTTACTCTAAAAGTTATTGATGGATATAATATAAGATTTTTGGGATTTGTATGTGGTGGTAAGTCAGTGGGCCAAACGATATCAATAAAAGACAAAAGCCCAAACACATCTGATACGTGTGCAAAGCACGTGAGACTTTGTTCATCCATACATCCATCTCACACCCAACCATCTGATCTTATTAACTGAAACCAACAGCCATCCACAGAAACACACACACACACAACACATTCTCCATTTTTTTTCTCTTTGGACGGATCGGTGTTCTTCAGTTCAGATGGCCGGCGTTCTCGAAACTCTTACTGTTCCCCGTGCTTCCGTCCTTCCGTCGGCCTCTTTGTGTCCGATCGTATCTTCTCCTGTTTCGCGACTCTCTGGTCACCGGAACTTTGTAAACTTGCCGGAATCGAGAGGTTTGAAAATCCAGTCGTTCAGCTCTTCTGGATCTGTGATCTTGAGGTCTAAATTTGGCCGCCGTGGAGCACGTATTGCATGTCAGGCTCAAGAAGCCGTCCAAGGTTAGAATCTTTCACTGTGGTGAATTGATTTGTATTGTACTCGATTGACCAGATTTTTGATATAGGACCTGTTGTGTTCGTAATTATTCTATCGTTTTCCATTTATTTGATGAATTTGTGGTTAATAAGTCTGTTTATGTTTGGATTGGGGATGAAAATCTGTAGTGGTGATATATACTTCTTTTGGCCACTCGTGACGGTCGTGTCCTGCTAATCAGGAGCTTTTTTTACTGTTTTGTAGTTGAATACTTGAATACGTTGTTTTTTTTTTTTTAGAATGAAAGTTGTTTTGGGAAGAAAAGTGTATATTGGTTTGTATTTTGTTACTCTCTCCTTTCCTGATAAAGAGCTGCACTTAGAATTTTGATGTAAAACCTAGTATTTTCAAACGCAAAATTGACTTGCACCTTGTTATCAAAGTGATAAATGACCTTAGGCGTTAGCCGTGGTGCGATGGCGAGATCGACCTCAAGCATGGTGTTTTCTATGGCATGATTTGTCGTATACACATATGTTTTCTATTAAACAATTTAAATCATGTTTTATACTAAAAACTAAAAAGTAAGACACTAAGAAGGTAAGAAAAACCGGATATCGTGTTGAAAAAACTGCACATCACGCCTTGGCGTGCCACAGGCTTAACATGATGTCGTACATGAGCCTTGAGCCATGGTTTGCCACAGGCTTAACGTAGCGTCGTACATGAGCCTCGAGCCACGGTCTGCCACATACTTAACTTGATACAAATAGGAACCCTTTATCTTTTCAATGTTTGTTATAAAAATACAATGTGGTCAGATATTTCTTTTCAAGTACTTCAGACATACCATTTTGAAGTTAAAGAAGAAGTCACTGGACCACATGATTCAAAGTCTAGCTCACTTCTCCAGGTACCAAAATAAAGGTACTTTGAGATGTCATATATGAGGTATCAAAATAAAGGTTATAAAGTACGTTGCACAAAATAAAAACCATACCAAAGTAAGTTTCCAATTTACCCCTTAATTCTTAGAAGCATAAAAAGAAGGCATAAACCTTCCAATGTTGCCAGTTGTTGACAACCATTTCCTGCAGCTACATTGTGAATTGCTCCATTTTAGCTTCTACATTATTTGTTCAAATATGACATTAAAGCATAATCTCACTGATCTATTGTCCTCTAAATTTGAATGACATGATTATAGACTTGAGATCATGTGGATCAGTCTGTTTTCGTGAGTCCCGTGAGACCACAAAATTACAATGAACCCTTCACAGCTGGTAAACACGGTTCCTACGAGAACAGATTGGTCCCATGAGAAGCCAACCCCATGATTATCTATCCATCTTTTTATCCACACATAACTTCTCAAGCAATTCATTTTACAACCTCCAAACTTGCAGTCCTCCCTGTCACTGATGCAACATGGGAATCACTTGTCATGGAGTCTACTCTCCCGGTAATGGTCGAATTCTGGGCTCCATGGTGCGGGCCTTGTCGCATGATCCACCCAGTCATAGATGAACTCGCAAAGGAATACTCAGGGAAACTCAGTTGTTACAAGGTGAATACGGATGAGAGCCCTGCAATAGCGAGCCGATATGGGATAAGAAGCATCCCAACTGTCATTATATTCAAAGATGGAGAGAAGAAAGATGCAGTTATTGGTGCAGTTCCTAGATCAACACTGTGTACCTGCATAGAGAAGTTCTTATAGAGGTATGATCATGTATACACTAGATTTGTTTCATGTTGTCTATCTTTTGATATCACAAGTACATATACTTTTGGTGCCATCGATATTTTCCCGTATAGTCGGATTCTGATGTATTTGCTGAAGTACTATGTCGAATATTGTTCTCCCCGAATGTTATGGATGGGCAAAGTTTTCCCAACGGTAAGAGACGGTTTGGCCAACGTTGTCATGTTCATGTTGCCAAACCGTCTCTTTTCTCTACCACATTCTTCTATGTATTTTATCTATGTTTTCTTGCCTTGAAAATAAATCATTGGTATATGTGAACCCTTATTTAATCTCTCGAAAAAAGCCTTTATAAAAAAAGGGGAGGTTCATATATATATATATAGAGCCAAGATCAAATGCTAACCAACCCTTTCATGTTAACCTTATTAACCGATCTTGGCCATCCAAACAAATGATCAATGGTTGTAAATTAATCAATTTAAAATTTTAATTTTTAAAATTTGAATTTTAATTAAGCATTGTGAACATATATGGAAGGGGAATATTGGGTAATAAACTTCACTTCATAAATGCGAGTATTATTAAATCATCGGTTACATACAAAAGATTACCATGTATAAAAACATGTATGTTGACATTACCAAATGAACGAATGATGAACATGAAACGAATGATGAACATGAACGAATGATGAACATGAAACGAATGATGAACATGAACATGAAC